CTACGTTACCTACCTCCTGACGAGACGTGATGGCTTCAAGATTCAGAGTAAGACATATGTTTTTGGACATGGACAATGTGGGAATTTGTTTTGGTCAACTAAACATATTTATTACAAGGTTTTTAATTCTTTTTTTTTTAATTGGAAGGGGTGGTTATGCAAAGGAGAGAAAATAAATACTTGTTAACTAAAAGATAAAAATAAAATGAAAAAAAATCAGAAAGTTGAACTCTGTCACCTTCAAGGTCCCTTCTAACTAAATTTGTCATCCTAAGATCTGGTAGTCCATTCCTCGCTCCATTATTTTATAGATGACAAAGTCAAGGTTCTGAGAGACTGAAATAAGTTGTGTCAGGTCATACAGGTAGGAAATATCAGAGAGGCAGTATTTGAATCCTGGTTCTTTGACTCCAAATTCAGCGCTCTCTGAACCAAACCTGCTGGTGGGTCATTTGGTTTAGGTTAGACCAAAAATTGTACCTCTTCCCCTGGCTGACTTACTCATTTCTGCTGTTCTTTATATGGCAGATCTTGCAAAGTGGGATTGCTGACAGTGTAACCTAGACCCAATATTAGAAAAGCAACATAGAGAAAATGCATGCTATAAGTGGCAAGGAGGACAGCAGCTCCGACTTTGAACATGAAAAAGGTTCTTATAGATCACATTATTCAGTTTTTTGCAAAAAGTCAGACCAGTATGTGAAAATATTATCGCATTTATCTTACAGTGGCTGATTCCCATCATGATCTTAGATTCTTATTTATAATGGTCTTTAATCAGCTTACTAGGGGCAACTAGGTGGCACAGAGGATAGAGTGCTGGGCCTGGAGTCAGGAAGACTCATCTCCATGAATTCAAATCTGGCCTCAGACACTTACTAGCTGTGTGACCCTTGGCAAGTCACTTAAGAAGGAAATGGCAAGCCACCTCAGTATATTTGCCAAGAAAACCCCAAGCGGGGTCATGAAGAGTTGGACATGATTGAAAAACGATTGAACCAAAACAAAAAAATCAGCTTACTATTCCACATTTTAGGGTTATGATTGTTTACCACTTACTGAACACTTTACATGTGCAATAAATGGACTTCCTTACTTATCTATGATTATAATAAGACCTCACATTTCTATAACCTTCATAGTTTGCTCTCAATAGCCCTGTGAAGTAGATAGCATATTATCTGTATTTAAGAGATGCAGAAACCGAAGCTCTTAGAATTAAAGTGACAAGGCCAGGGTCACAGAGATAAGGTCTAAACCCTGACCTCCCAATCCCAGGTCTACTAGTGCTCTTTCTGAAACACAACACTGCCTTCTCTCCCTACCGATGAGGTGGTGGAATTCCTATTCACATTCTGGGAAATACCCTTTACTGCCTCTCTAAAGCAATTCTCCAAGGCCAGCTACAGCACTGAACAAGAGCTAAGATCTTGGATCCCTATGACCACTTCTTTCTTTCCTTTCAGACCCCTCCGTATCTAAACATTACTATTCAAACAAAACCATTTGAGGATGGGGGAAAAACAACTTGCTGACAGCACATCATTTTGTCATTATTCACTGGTGAGTAATTAGCATTTGCTATAGATACATATTTCAAAAACTTGTTAAAAGAATCCAGGCCTGCAAAATCATGTCTCTCAAATTAAAATCAATTAAAAATTAAACAAAAGTGGTTAGTGTGGAACTCTGGACCTTTTTTTTTTTCAATAGGATTCAGTGAACTGAACATATGAAGTACATAAAATGTGGAAACTATATATACTTCATTACAGCATTCTACAGCTGCCACTTGTTTCATTTTGGTATAAAAATAATTATTGTTTTGAGTACAATAGTGTCCATTTCCTTTGCACTGCCCCAGTGCTCTGATAACCATCTACTTCAATTCCGATTAATCATGCCAAGATGGCAATTCCATTAAACTAAGAGTAAAATTTATTAGTCTAATACGTGGCTGCAGTTTCAAGGGCTGGAACTATGTGTTTAACTGCTTTGGGGATTTTATTAAGATGAAAGCTAAACATAATGCATCTCAATCAGACTTTTAGTGGACAAAGCGACTTAAAAAATACCCTGAACTAGAGTATCCATAATGTTTCTGTAGGTATTAAACTATGCTTGCACCTTCAATTTCATGGGCATTTAATTATGGGAAAGATATTTAATTATCGATGAAAGATGTTTAAATTAATTTCTGCTATACTCTGTTGTTACTTAAAGCCAGTCAAAACATAGCAATAGATATGGGATTATGATAGAAGACAACTGACAAAATATAGAATACATGAAAGACAGCAGTATGGTTGATTTTTAGCAAAATAATGCCCTTCTGGTTTTAGATTTAGCCCAAGCTTTACATAAGTATGGAGTAAACTGTTTTGTTTATATGACATCTTTCTGTGTCCTAAAGGGGACCTCAGTGTATTAAAATAGTTACTATCCCTTGGAAAAAAACAAACAAACAAACCCCAAAACAAAAACTAAGGAGCAGATTAGGTTGTTTGAGCCAGGTTCTTGTTGGAGAAAGCCCTAAGTTTGAACCTTAAAATGACGCTGTTAAGGCTGTATCATAATCTTAAATCTGTCTAACTGCCCTTCCCTTAATGTTATACGTTGTTGCTTATTTTTCTATAGAAGTAGAGGAAGGTGGAGTAAGTATCTTTTAAATTAAAGAACAAATAACGAGTACTTCTTTTCAGAAAATACAAATAACTGAAATCTTTCTTGATGTTGTCTTGAGCCAGAAATGTGACCTATGGGGAGAACCGAGTGACTGACTACAATTTATTTGGTCACTATCTAAACCTGTACTGGGATATTACGTGTAAGTGTGAACACATAAATATGCTAGTTTATTGGGATTGGGGACGTCCTGATGAGGAAAGCAAAGCAGAGCAACAACTTGTCTCCAATTCAGAGACTTATAGAATTACCAACTTAGATCCTTGGAAAATTAACGGTGGCCCTAAAATCTTAAGTCAAGACTTTCTGATCCTAGTCAGTCCTCTATACAGTATGCCCTTGCTAACCATCTAGTTCTTCAACTCAGAGCTGTGCAAGACAGCATGGTACAGTGGACAGAGTGGCATCCTTGGAGTGTTTGGGTTCAAATCCTGCCTCTGGCACATATTGCTGGGTGGTTATTCAACTCCTGGGAGACTTTCTTAGACAATAACTTTCAAGTGTGTTGCTATCCTGAGTGGTAGAAGAAGTTTTGAAACCAGAATTCACAACACTGATGAAATCTCAGGTTCAGACCTACCACACAGAGTTTTCTCTATTAAAACTCTAATAAGTTTAAAAATGTACTGACTTTTTAGAGGGCCCCATGTGTGTGTATGTATGTGTGTATATATGGAAAGATATATACATATATGTATATATACACACATACATGCATTTGAAAAATGTATTTTGGGGGATCTTTTCTCTTGCTTCTTTTCCCTTTTCAATTTGAAAACAGAGAACTTATTCTGTGCCCTAGAAAACTCATTTTCAAAGAGAATAAGTTCAAGAAAATTCTGAATTGCAGAATTATATACTTTAGTTTTCAATAGCAAAAAGAAAAAAGAACTTTCAAAACATCATGACTCAAGGGAAATTTAATCCACAGGTTCATAAGAAAACAATGCTTATTTTGAAAGACATTTTACATACTAAAAACTACTTATGCAGAGATGATTTTGGACATGGTTGCTATTTATTGATAATGTGCTAACCTTCCCATCTGGAGATGACTTTCATCTTACCAATATTAGAGTGAGTACTTTGAGTCCTTTTTCTAGTTGTGTTGTTGGATTTACACCGATCTATTTAATGCATTTGCTTACTTCTCTTTATGGGAGATGGCTGGCAGCATAAATGAAGACCTGTACGTCATTGACTGAGATTTTTTTTTTTCAAATGGACCTGGGATTCATGTTACAGAGAAATCCTAGGGAACCAATTTCTTCTAACAATGCAGACTGACAACTGTTGTGGAACTTAGAATCTTTGAGTGTTACTTGGGGGCAATAAGAGGTTAAGTGACTAGCCCAGAGTCACATGGTATATGTCAGAGGAAAGTCTTAAACCTGGATCTTTCTGATGCCAAGGCCAGATCTATCCAACAAGCTACACTGTCTCTCTTGTTGAGACTACTTTTTGTTAAAATGGAGCTGTCTGTCACCACTCAGTTACAAGATCACAGTCAAAGCCACGATGAAACAGTCATTAATTGAATTGGAGCATGGCTCTCCTTCTCCATTAGGATACCCACCTCTATTAGGCAGAAGAAAGGAGAGCTAATACACTTATTTTGCTTCTCCTTAACTTATTTCTATTTCCTTCGACTCTATGGTCTCTGCAGTATGTAATAATGGATAGAGTACTGGGCTTGGAGTTATAGAGACTTGGGTTCAAATCTCACTTGCAATACTTGTTAACTCTGCAAGCACAGTCAAATTACCTAACCTCTATGTACCTCAAGTCACTACCTTGGCCTCATCTACTGTGTAGTAGATAGGCTGTGATCTGCATCGGGGAGAAGAAGAGAAACAAAGGGAAGTTTCCTGTGCTTACAAAATGACAGATCCTGGATGCATTTGCGTTTCCTATACAGCCACATTGAAAAGTTGGGAGATGGGACGAACTCTCCAGCCTTCTCATCTACAAAATTTTATATCATCAAAGGGAGTAGATTTGGTTCTCTTTTGTTAGAGGACAACCCTTAAGGAGGGAAGAAAGAAAAATAGCCTACAAGGCTGACGAGGGAAGATGGCACAATCTCCACTTTTCCTTCTCTGGACAATGTTGAAAAACTTTCTAGGAGCAAGCACAGGTTGTGAAAAAATATAATTGGCATATCTTTGGGGAACCACAAAACCATATTTCATCAATCTTAAGATGTTTACACTTAGTTTGAAACTTAGAACCTGTGAAAGCTGAGACCAGGGAGGCACTTTCTTTTTTAATTAAATGGTTTGAAAAGAAAAACAATGTGTACTCTCAAAACTTACGAGGGCTCTTCTGACACCACGGCTCCTTCTTCCAGCTCTTGGGCTTGCTTATGCCATGGCAGCTTGGCTTCCACAGGAAGTTTCTCTGAAAAGCATATGCATAGACATGAAAAAAGATGAGCTCAGAACTAAGTTTGGGTTCCAGAGAAATCTGTTTTCTCTCTAAGCTTGTCTGTCTCTGTGGGCTGTATGTTTGTAAAGAGATGTTTTGTCTGTTGATTATGTGCTAATAACTAATAGTTGACTTATTAATTTCCTGGTTCTTTTATTTGAATTGAACTCATATCATTAGAATCCTACAACTAGAAACTGTATCCCGAGAGAAAGGCTTTCTGTATTCTGATGAACAAAGAACATTTTATGCCCTGTGTCGTACATCATAAAAAGTTCATTGTTGAGCTCGAGCAATAGAAACAAGGGGAAAATTACAACACCAAGAAGATAGGTTCCATACTGAGTTACACAGGAAAGCTTTTAAGTATCGTTTTCTGGAAAGGTTTTATGTAGTTAATTTCAAATAAAAAAAAGCACCTATTGAGTGCCTGTTATATGCTGGGATAAGTGGCAAGGGCTCTGGGTGTTAGAAAAGTAAGACATGTTGTTTTTCTCAAGGAATTTAAAATTTAGTAATGGAGAATTAAAAACTGGACACAAATATCGATGTCATCCAACTAACTGTTCCCAATAATTGTCAGTGGTGGATGGCTAGTGCCCATGGCCTTGACATTTCCCATGCCCATTTCTTGACTCTGCTTGGCTCTCCACATTGGACTTTAAGAGAGATGGGATAATGGTTATGCATAAAGAAATAGAGAACAGAACATATAAAGAATGATAGAATAAATACCTCCGATAATTGTATGTTAACCTGAAAACTGTCTGAACATGCATATCTGATTCGGACATTTGTAATTTTAATAAAGGCCTTATATAAATGAATTAATGCCTTTTTCTTATGGAAATTCTAGAGCAGGAATGGGAACCTGTGGCCTTTGGCCCTCTAGGTCCTCAAGTATGACCCTTTGATTTCTATATGTAAGCTTGGACTAAGTCTTGATAATGGCTGATATACACCTCAAGAAATAGGGAACCAAACAAAAACAAAGCTTTGTAATGTTAGCGCTATTGGTAGCTACGTATATAGCATGTAGGTTTTTATGATGGGGGGAAAGGGAAGCCTCTTATTAATGTTTTTTAAGTCTCTATCTTAGAATTATCAACTCTGAGTCTAATGAGCAGCCACTTTATCTTTCAGTCTTCTTCTTTTTTTTTTTTTGGTGAGGCAATCAGGGTTAAGTGACTTGCCCAGGATCACACAGCTAGTGTCATGTGTCTGAGGCCTGATTTGAACTCAGGTCCTCCTGACTCCAAGGCCAGAGCTTTAGCCACTGTGCCACCTAACTGCCCCCTTTATATTTCATCCTTGAAAAAAGATAGAACAATACTACCTTTTAAAAATTAGCACAAAATACAAGAATTTACAATGTGGCTCTGATATAGTTCAACATTTCTCACAGCACAACTCCTTTTAGCTAAATATGGTCTGCACTGTTTCTTAAGATGGAAAAAAATCTGGTAATCTGAACTTATAACATATTGCTTGGAATATCTGGCTATATGCTGTAATTCTCAGCAATGATATTCACAAGAAATGGAATGAAATTAAGGTAATACATGAACAAAGAAACTATGTAGCATGAGATAACAGTGGATAGTCCAAGTGCTCCAGTGGTACTCCCAAAATGTTAAAAGACCTAGGGGAAGACTTTGGATTCACTGGGTATATTTTCTAAGGAGGATCATGGGATCATAGGATAAGATGTGGCTAGGTTGTGATCTGTACGTGATGGAGAGAATACCCACAATGATGGGATTATGCCCACCATGAATGTATCTTACTCATACAGGTACCATTTGCAAAACAATCTGGAAGTTAGAAAATAAGCCATAATCAACCATTTGCTTTGTTCCACTATTTCTCCCACATTAGCCCACCAATTTAGAATATGCTTCCTAGCCTTCACAAAAATGGCTGCCAAGATTCCTATTTTGACATATTTATTGGTGTCATTTATGAGTGAATCTGCTTTTATAACATAAACCAGAGAAGCTCTCTCACCATTTTAGAGCATATAATTACAAAGATGAAAGAAATATGCTCATATTCATACACACACACACACACACACACACACACACTGTAGAATTATACGGCATTTTAATGATGTTTAGCAAGCCAGATCTTTCTACTTAACTGTGAAAAACTAGATTTCATTCTCAGATAGTTAACCACAAACTACTTTTCATTCTCTGAAGTGGCTTGCTAAAGAAAGAACTAGCAAACATATTGCTATTTTAAATTAAGGATATCATCACTTGCCCTTTATACATGTATACTGTTTAATTATCTTAAAAGTAAAGTCAATGAAAAATATTGAGCTGCTCAATCCAGAATGGACTGCCATGATTTGAAAGCTAACAATATGGTATATCTCCACAAAGAGGAGTTTTGCTGACATTCTATGCATTTCCAGCAAGACAAATTAAAACTAAAGAGGGACCCTATTTTAGGTAAAGGCCCAAGCTTCTCTTTCCATTAAACAGACAAATAAAACAAAATAAAAAACTACTAGCAATAGCCCATGAAGCTTCACTTTGTATATGACCAATAGCTTTTTCCTTTCTGTGAGTAACCATTTGTAATAATTGATTACTGCCATTCTCTTCAATGATTTCTTTTTTTAATCATAGTTTAGAACTTGTAATGACATTCACTTTTGCCCAAGACATCATAGTTTGTGGTAAGGAGTAAAAACTTAATTGATTGACAATGTAGAGATAAATAAATTTAAAAAGCAGTTTTAAAAATTAGATGGGATGTGAGAGTCAGTATTTTTTTAAAGAAGAGTTTTCAATAAGTAGAACTTTTATCTTGTGTCTGGTAAATGAGTTTTTAAAAATATATATACATATATAAAAATAAATATAATGTCATATACAGAGTATATGATCTAGTTATCCCATTCTGGGAAAATGAGTCAGTATATACATGGAAGGGTCCTATAACCTCTGACTGCCAGATCCACATGGAAGAGAAAGAATCCAAAAGTAATGTTGCCAACCTTGTGAGAGATTCATCAACATAAAATCGTTTCAGGACAAAGCATTTTGCAAGAGCAATATAATGAACTGACCTATCAAAACAAGCAAGGGGTGAGGGGTAGGGGAGGAAGAGTCCTGTCCCTTTCAGATCTTATATTCTGTGTTTAACTTCAGCATAGAAGAGAGGAGGTGCCCTGCTCTGGTCTACTGGCTGTAGCTGTTGCCTTCTCACCCTTGCAGCTGAAATCTCTGTCCTTCTTTGTTCTAGTAACAATAGTACACTCATTTCTAAACACTATAAAAAACTAATTGAGATTGTTTCTCCTGTAACCATCCCCCCCTTTTTTTATTCTGCTTTATGTATGGAGATGTTTGACTGTGTTTTTATTAAGTTTAGAATTTAATTTTTTTTAAATTGAAATATCAGTGAGCTTTTTATGAACTTAAAACAAAGTATTTGCAATTTCTAGTAAAAAAAATTGTTTTATTTACAGTTCTTGATTGAGATCTTAACATTTTGATTATATAGATGTTCAAAATTGTCTTAATATATGAAAATATATTTGATATTTTAAAAATTGCATATCAATATGGAAAGATTTATATTTTGACAGTAAGACATATTTAAGCTTATTAAAAATGTGTCCTGTGCTCCAGAAACTGGGTGCAATTTTTCTCTTTGTTTTTAACAGCAAGAAAGGGTTGTTAAATGTATGAATTATTCCATAGTGTTTGAGCTATTTTTAAATGGATCATAAGTAGATAAATCCTATGATACTTTTCAACAATGGCATTCAAAAAGCTTTATGATTGGTTAGGCTCTCTCTCTGTCTTTATTTATAGTTTAATTAAAAAAGGTCAGTTTAATGGATTCCACACTTATTTGTGATATGTGCACACACATATAACAAGTCTACCCAATGCAGCTTTAAAACATAAAGCACAGTTACTAGGGGACAAGAACACTTTAAAATAAGATACTTTAAAAAATTCCAAGGAGATCAAAGCAGGTCTAGGACAAGAAAGCAATTAACAGCTTCATAATGGGCCACCTGTCATCTTACCTTTAGGTTTATAGCAGGGAGTCGGTATGATGCATTCTTCTTTTATGTGGGGCTTTGTTTTAGGGCTGCAACCACCTGTATGCATTCCTCGATGATCAATACAGAGTACTACTCGGTATCTGAGCCCTTGTCCACACGTCACAGTACACTAGAAAGAGAGAGAGGGAAGAAGAGAAAGAGAGGGAAGAAGAGAAAGAGAGAGGAGAAAGAAAGAGGAGGAAGGGAGGAAAATGTGGAGGGAGGAGAGAGGGAGAGACAGCAAAGCCTTATTTAAATAAAGTAGAATATTTTTTCCCACTAAATACTGCAAATACAGGCTATTGATTTTTATCCTTCCCCTCCCCCCAAGATTATCAGTTGTGTTGTATCATCTCTTTTACTGGATTGTAAGCCCATAGGAGCAGGTTTACATGTTGTGCATCTCTCTATCCCATGTAGTGCCTAGCATGGGATCTCAAACATATTGAGTGCTTAATGAATATTTGTTAAGTAGAATTGTATTGTATGATAGCAGTTGTAAAATTGTCGTTTACTTTGTTAGAGAAAGTGCTGACAATTTAATCACCCCCAGTCTTTGAGTCTCCACCACCACAAGTCCAGAAGCCAATCTGATAAAGATATGAATATTAATAAAATCCAATTTCAAAGGGGGAAATGTTGGATGAGCAATTCATATAAGGGCCAGAAGTATAAATTTGAATTATCTAGCCTGAAATTCTGTTTGTTTCCAATCTACTAGACAGGACCATTCTTGATATTGACTTAATTGTCCTATTTCCTGTTTTATTGCTGTCACAGGGTCATAGATCTGGACCTCCTAGGCCATCTAGTTCAACCCTTGCATTTTAAAGAAGAGGAAAATGAGGCTCGGGTAGGTTAAGTGATTTGCCTAACGTCACATCGATGATAAGCAATGGAGTCATGATTTAAACCTATTTCCTCCAACTTCAGAATCCGCGCTGTTTCCACTGGGCTAGTCTCAGATTACCAGTAACAAACTAGTTATTTCCTTTTGTGTTTCTCTTGTCTGCATTTTAGTATTTGAGTTTAATTTGGCCAACCAGCTATGACCCTGACTTTTCCATAAAAAATAGCTGGTTTACCCTAAAAAAAACTTATATTCTCTTAGTCAACATTCACTAAGTATCTACTTAAGTGCAAAGTACCATATTTGGTATCATGAAATTACAACAAAAATTGTAGAGTATCTGCCCAGTTTTTAATTGTATTCCTGAGTTTTTCTTTTTAGTTATTTTGCAGTTAACACTTGGAGTGCTTTCCCTCCTTACTTCCACTGGCTTCCTTCAAGATTGATCAAGCACCATCTTCAGCAGGAGACCTTTCCTAGCTACAAATGCTTTCACCTGTAAGATTACCTCATGCATGTTTGTTAAATTATCTATTTATGGACATACTGTCTCCCCATTAAAATGTGAGCTCCTTGTGGGCAGCGATTGCTTTTTTTTTCTTCTTTGTAATCTCAGTGCTCAGCACAGTGCCAAGTACATACTAAATGCTTAATAAATGATTGTTGATTGATGTCTAAATCACAGAAAATACTGGTTGTTAGGTTAGTTTCTGCCTTTTCCCATGATTGATTTATGTTACAACACAGTCAGTTTTAGTGATGGTGCCAAAAGAAAGAGCTGATGAAGAAATCTTTCAGTCAAGAGCCCAGGAGTCAGGATAGGCACTGCCTGTACCTCTGAAGCTGGACTGATGTGTATGGGAGCAGACCAAAAGTGAATGAAAGAACAAATTAACAAATGATGTCTCTCATCTCTGATCACAAATCTATATTACATGGTTCTATGATAAGAAGAAACAGAAGTGCATCATGGCTGATCAACTTGATCTCTGGGTTTATAGATCATCTGTTTTCATAGAGCCAGAATCTAAATGTTAGCCACTGAACTTACACTGCATATAACCTGAGTGTCATGGAGTTCAGCATGATGTCATGGAGAGAATGCTAGCTTAGTCATCAGCAGGGCTTAGGTTCTAATCCTGACTAGCTATATGGCTTTGATCAAGTCACTTAACTCTTGTTGGTCCACTTCCTTATCTGCAAAATGAAGGGGTCAGACTTGGTAACCTCCAAGGTCCTGGTGAGTTCCAAGATCTTATGTTTTTCTGACAGCTAGTTCAATGGCCACTGGCATTACTTGGAGGCACGTTGAACTGTTTCTTCAGCACATGAAGTGACTTTGGAGCAGAAGTAGGAAAACATGAAGTAGGAAAATGATTCAGCTTTATTCTCAATCTACAAACATACTAAGTTGGAGAATGGTGACCTTCTCCTATTCTCCAGTTCCCCCCAATCCCCATCCCCTGCCATGGCAGTAGGCTTGTAGAACACTAGGTAAACTCAGCCAAAGAGGACAATGATGGACAAATTAGATTGCCAGGCAGGGTGGTGATAAAAAGACTGAAGAATGGGCTTACTCTCCTAAACACACAAAGAAAGAAGGCACAGTTACCGGAGACCACTCTTGTGCCAGCCACTTAGGACAGTCAAAAATGTTGCAGGGCTGTACAATAGGCATCTTAGGAGTGTACATGCATTTCCATTCTTCCACTGAACTGACATGCCCCTGGATGTCTTCTTCTACACAGGAAACCGTCCGACTCTGGATACCACCTCCACAGGAGGAGGAGCAGGCTGTCCATGGTGTGCTTTCCCATCTATATAGGAAGAAGGCAATAGTTGTTAAAGGGATACAGTCTTCCATTAATCTTTTGAGAACTCCCTCCCTTCCACAACCTAATTTTCCTTTGATTAGTAAAGTTCCAAGAGATTTGGGGCACAAGAGTCAAAAACCTATCTGTTACATTAAATGTGGTGAGGAAATTCACCTAGCAAAGGTTTTTTTTTTTTATTATTTTTTATTTTTTACACATCCCGCTCTGCACACAAAGGAACTAACTTGAAAAGAAAAAAAAAAAAGAGATCTCTGGCTCTTTCACACCATCTCTATAGACTGGTATGAAACAAGGCAAGAGGTAGGCTTCTGGATCTTTATCACAGCCCAGTTCATGAGCATAAAAGTACACAAAGTATGCCAGTGAAGGGGGAGGAATTGATGTCATGGCTAAAGCCACTGACTCAAGTTAATATTCATTAAGAATTTGCAAACTAGCACTTCATTGACCCCAAAATAGATACCCCATCTTATTTTTACAAAACAAAAGAAAAGTTTGGCTTATAACCAATTATATATTTTTTTAGTATTTATTTATTTTCAAAGAGATCTTATTTTAGGGCCATGGTCTAAATTTGAACCAATATGGTAGACTGTACCTGGGTTGATATTTTTATTCTAACCCAGTGCTTTGCTTATTTACATTATGATTGCTTTTTTTCATTAGCGGCTCTTAGATGATCAAAAGGGCAAAATGGAATATCTTCTTATCCTATCCATATAACTAACCTTGGGAATAAAAGAATAGTCACAAGCATGCAGTTTAGCTCTTTGCCAAGCTTACTACTATACTGATGTTCCAATAACCCTAATGACTACAGAAGCTATTAGCTATGCAAACGTATCACTAGATTAAGAGCAAACATAGGAACACAGTCATCATATGCCAATTTCTTAGTTACTGATAGATGTTAACTGATTCATGACTTCTGTTCTGATAAATGCATGTATAGCATCGCAACTAGGTTTGATTCTGATTGGAAAAGTTGGCTTGTATGGTTTTTGGGCCCCTATAATTTTCAACATAGGGATCTGTACATTAGGCTAAATGAGATAGAAAGTAACATTGTCCAATATTACTTTTAAGAGAATTTGATTTACTTCTGCACTGGAGAATTCTGTGAGGGAGAGGGAACACTTTGCTTAAATTTTCCAAAAGCAATTCTTTTCTCCTTTCACAGACTAGCTTCAGAATTGCTGAAGGAAGGAACCACAAAGTCAAATGATTACATACTTATTTGTTTGTGTGTAGTGCTCTGGTGGTTGGGAGGCTGGCAAAGAACTTAAGTTTCTATTATGTTTATGAGGGAATGACATTTGGCTGGAGGAAAAAATGAAATGTCAAGAAGTTAATGTACTTGACTTATAAAAGTCAAGGATACTATACAAATAGAAATATAGCTTGGAAGCATTTATTCCAATGTTTCATAGAATCTTGTTTATAGATAGTATGTCATATTCAAGATAACAAGCTTGATTCTCTTTTTTGCACAAAAGGGAAAAATGTCTATTTCCCCATTTACAGAGAAGACAGGCCCTCCTCCACTCTCTCTGTACTGCTCAACTCTAGGCAACAATCACTATCCCTACTGCCAGCAGCTAGGATATGCTGCCAAATACAATATTTTCCTATGCACACTTCCCCAGGAGGTACATAAGAAAGTATCATAATGAGGAGAGCAGGGCTGCAGTTTAGCTCCTAGGAGAATTGATCGCTGGTCCCTTCCAGAGAAGCAAAGTATCTCTGTGGAAAGTTGCTCTATATCAGGGGAGACCAATTCAGATATCATTCTTCCTTGGAATGATACAGCTATGGAAGGCATTTCCCTGTTGGTTAACAAAAACTGGTCTCAGATATATAGTCTAGAGAAGTGTGTTGAATACATATATACATGTTTATACTCACACTGGACTCAATGCTACAAAGACATAGGAATCTGCTTTGAATATATTGGATGTCCCAAATATCTTAGTGTAGTTTTAAGCTTTAGTAAGCTTACACCTGATATATTCAGTTTTGGGGGATTATTAGTTTGCTACAGAGGGAAGTAATTGCTTAAATAAAAGCCTAATTCTCCTCAAACGTATTTCTAAGAAGTCAGAAAGATGCTGTACTCCTTTCTCAACTTCAGAGCACAGTGTTTAGTAAATGTTGGTTGAATGTAGGAAAGAGCAATGGCTCTGGCTCTACAAGTCAGATGGCAGAAAGAAACTTCTGAAGTTGGTTTTATATCAATACTTCCAGTAATGTATAGCATGATTACAACAAAAGAAACTTTTGTTTCTCTCTGTAAAATGGATACATGTGAGTTTCCTGCTAAGAGTAATAGACTTACGGTCAATTCTGCAGTAATATGTGGGTAGCTCCCTTTCAGAAGGACAGCCTATACAACAGTGGTTGTGAGTATTCACCCAGGGCTACTTAAAACATTAATAGAAAAGGGGGGGGGGCGATTAGAGCATTAATAAGTATTTCATAAAACACTGTCCTAAAAGATAACTGGCCTAGGAATTTATAATGTGCTACATATTTAAATTTTATTTCTTAAAGGGAGTGGGGTATAGTGGATAGAGAACTGGCCTTGAAGCCAGGAAGACTTGAATTCAAGTTGTGCCTTTGACATGTACTGGCTGTGTGATCCTGGGCAAATCATGTAACCCCAAAGGCAGACTTCTAAGATTTTCAATTTCAGAGGGAGTGCTGGACTGTTTAGGATAAACCAATAAACTCACTGGTCTAGTCTCTATCACTATCTTAGTCATAAATAATAATTTCTATAAGAACTCAAAATTCTCAACTGGGTTGTAGAAATGTTTTATATGATTAATTGCAAATTTATATGCAGCACTGTGGTGTGTTCTTAGATCTTACATATGTATCTATGTGTATGTTTATGTGAGTGTGTGCATATCTCTATGTATGTGATAGCCAGTTACTGAAGCAAGACTAACGTTCAGAGTAAAGGAAGAGCAATTAGAAAGTGAATGAATTTTACTATTGTAAATCCTTCTGATTCAGAAGTCATTCATTTGTTTAAGGCCTTTTCCCTTGGCCAAAGTTGTTATCATGTTAAAATTTTCATTACTTTAGCTTTTTCTTGCGAAATTGAAACATATATCTAACATACATAATTTTCGTTTACTGAGATGGCATGTCCAGATTGACAACTAGCTTGCTAACTGATACATAAGCATAATAAACATATGTTAATTTGCCAATATTTCCCTGTTGTGTTAGAGACAGAATTGTTTGTGTGCCCATAAAACAATAGAACAAATTCCTACATGTTGCAAACAAAACTAATCACCTAATTTTTATAATACATGTACATTAAGGGGAATCCTCTAACTGTTAATATATTAATTACATAAAATGGGCATCGATTATTCCAGAAAAAAAAAAAAACTTAACCCAGAGAGTACATACATTTCGAATAATACCAGGGCAACCATGACAACAAAAGCAGAGGTTTTTAAATTTAGAAGTAGATGAGATCTTGTTTGTCTGTCCTTTGTTTTCAAAGAGGACCCATCATAGAGATTACCTGGTCCAAAGCTTTCATTTTATAAGTGAGGAAATAAAGACCCAGAGAAGTTAAATGATTTATGCCAAAGGTCACACAGGTGACAGAGCTGAGATAATACAAAAGTATTTCCCAAAGCCTGACACATAATTCAGGCTCCATTTTAAATTTAGATGTGCACATTATTGATATCGTATTGTGATCTGTAATTTAAAGAGCTAAAGCAATGTGAACCTGGTATGTTGTTATTATTAGTGATAGGAACTTAGACCAAATGAAATACTAGTGGAGTTCAGAGAATATTCTGGTATCCTACCTTAGTTTCTATTTGCTAGAATATGCCAGTTTGGTCCTGTTTCAAAGTATTTCACTGGATTTCACCCTGCCTCCCAACAATAACAACAACAAAACAAAAGCAAAAATAAGCCCATAACGTTGGTTGGTTTTATGTAGAACAACAACAGGGTTCCATTTCATTTGAATTTCAGCAAATTAGAGTGATTTGTTCTGACTGTGTGTTCACAGTTTGGATTTGGTCCAACCCTTTCATTATGCGTAGTATAGATTACCCAATGGCTATGTTAATTGCCAAGTCAATCAAATAAGCATTTATTAGGTATTTTCTATGTTCAAGATACTACACTAGGCACTGGGAATAGGAAAGCAGAGTGAAAAACAGTCCCTTCCCTCAAGGAGTTTAAATTTTACTGGCTGTAGAATGCAACTGTACTGGGCAGGGTATCCCAGATTTAGTCTCACAAAGGGAAAGGAGACCATTGGGATCAAGCACAAAAGTAATTTCTCTGTGATTACTTCAAATCAAATTACAAAAGCACAAATTCCAAAGTCTCACAAATTGTGAGACTTCTGCCTGCTTCTGGTATCACAACACATTTATTCAATGGACTATTATTTGGCTCTCCCCCTACCCCACTTTATTATGAATGGATTTATAAAGAGGACAATCATTTTAGAATGTTCCCACTGTACTTTTTCATTATTTTTACAGCTTATAAAAATATTATACTTATAAAACGTGAAGTGGCATTTACATGGGATTTTATACTATTTTAAAAAAAAGCCTAAATGGCTGTTCTGAATAACAAGGATATGAAAGAAATCATGCAGTTTGGTTTTCTTTCCTAATTGCTAATTTCTTCTAAAATGAAAATGATTTTAGAAATTCACATGCATACTAATGCAACATCTGGAATTCCACATTCATGGGTCTACAAAGATACTTGTGGTAGTGTCTGTTTGACATTTTGGAGGAGTATTTTAATGACCGGGGTTCTGTTGCAGGGGAAGCAGAGAAGACAAAGAGAAGTCCAGAAAGACTGAATATAAACCCACACAGTGTATCCAATCACTGAATTACTATGTCAGCTTCAATGTAATGCTAACCTATCTTTACATGGTTTTTTAAAATGATAAGGTTAGAGTCTGGTCATGCCAATATTATTCAATGGGAGATCTCAGAAGGGAGTGGGAAATATGGCATTTACCATTTTATTTTTACAGGAAAAACGGAGTTGCTATGCCAAAAAATAAAGTTAGAACATCAGATAACTAACTCTAGTATCAGGATTATTGATTTACATACCGAGGAAGGGGATGGTAGAGGTCATAGGGCATGATCTGCTTGTAGCCGTCACTGTTAGGAACAATAATGCCAACCCTCTGAGTAGAAGGTACACACAATAAAATAAACACTAAATGATTACATTATACAACATTTTTTTACATAATTGCAAAACAACATTGATAACATGTTCTACAAATTCAGTTTAGGATTTTGAAAACAATACTTAGAAGGGTTTCATATCTTTATGGCTAGTACGTGTTTAAGAATGGGCAAGATATTGTTTGGAAGAACGCTATTTCATGAGACTAGTTTTCTGATTCATGAAGAAAATTCCATGGGAAAGGGTTCTAACACCCAAACATTCCCCTCTTTGTTAAATATGACAATAAACTTTAATACTTTCTCTAATTTAAATAAATTTTACATTATGTTGGGTCATCATCATCAACAACATCATCAGTGCCTTTTCTAGGTGCTCATCAAGAAATCACACCATTATAACCTTTGATTACCCCACAAAATTCTCTTAAGATTTTAAGTTGTAGAAAAGGAGCCAACTTGCATTGATAGAGTTTCCTCACCCAAGATTTCCCTAAACTAATGAAAACATAGGTCCAATACATATCTCCTGTGTAATGAGCCTTTGAGTATAGATAGATAGATAGATAGATAGATAGATAGATAGATAGATAGATA